AGACCCGAGCTTGTCACTCCCGGGGTGGAACCGCTTCAGTCGCACCCATTTTCGCCTCTTTTCACAAGTCTGTCACTGGCATTGTCTCTTTGTCTCTTGCTTCTTCATCCTGAATGCTCCTGCCATCTGCAGTGTCTGCACTGTGCTGGGAACTGGAGCGGGAAGACAGGTTCCTGCCATCCTGGCCCCTTATTCACTCTACAGGTCAAAACCAGCCAGGGTCTCAGCACAAAACTACTCAAGAATGAGTCATCCTGACTCCCAGATTCTTTTTTCAGTTTTTGGGGTTTTGATTTTTTGATTGTTCTGAGGTTTTTGTTTTGTTTTGTTTTGGGTTTTTTGTATGATTTTGTTTTGAGACAGGGGCTTACTATGAAGCCCAGGCTAGACTCATACTCCTTAGCTCAGTCTAGCCTCAGACTTATCCTGTAGCCCAGGCTGGTCTCAGACTCACTCTATAGCCCTAGATTCTGACCCATCTCAGACCTGGCACATTGCCAGCTCTTGCTTTCTATGTGTATGGTTGATTTCAGGCTCAGAGTGTTGGTGGCTAAAAGTGCCCAGCCCAGCCAGATGGCATTGCAGAGTTGCCTCTGGGCAGCAGCAGTGAAGCCACAAGCCCCCATTGGGCTCCTCTCCTCCAGTGCAGGACCCATTTTACTCCACAGCTCAGATCCTACTCTAGCTGAAGTGAAGCTTGGCCACCAGACTTCCGGCCCCCAGCCTTGGGACCCCTACTGGCTTCTCAGGGCAGGACTAGCTTTCTCCCAGCACCATGCTGTGGACCCTGTGTCTGGTGGCAGCAGAACTGCTCAGAGCAGCCCTTTGCATGCCTGGACTGTGCTTTCTGCTGGAACTCTGACAGATGTAGACAGACTCATCCAGCAAGCAGATCCTGCAGCCACCTGGACCAAAAAAGGATGCCAAGTGGGACTGGCAGGGGCCAGTCTGTCACGAACTAGTGGGCCCCACCCAGGTGCCTGAGGCCTGGCTGCTCATAAAGACTGGGGACAGCAGCCCCACCTCTCGCACCTCCTTGGCTGCCTACTTGGGGCTTGGCAGCCTGAATCACGTGTCCAGTGGACCCTTAGCAGTCATGAGGCCAGCAGGGATCAAAGGTGTCTATGCACGGGGCACCCTTGTCCTCCTAGCTCTAGAGCTCTGACCCACACTGAGACACAAATGACACTTCATCTCCCTTGCATTGACAGATCTGTGAGGGAGGCCTCCCACCACCCACACCCCCACTCCCCCTCCCGGCTCAGCCACCCCAGCTGAGCCTTACTGTGTGATACAAACACAGGCCTGAGACAGCTGAGATCAGCTAAGCCACCCTGGCTGAGGTTGTCGAGCAGGAGCCAGGCCAGATGGCCGTTGTTTTTGTTTTCTGTTGTGAAAAAGACTCTTACTATGTAGTCTAGGTTGGCATAGAATTCACTGTGTAGCCCAGGCTGGCCTTGATATTTCAGGTGCCAACAGATGCTGCATTTTGAGCTGTTAGGCTGTGGAGTGACTTGATACACAGCCGCACCTATAGGTGCAGCAAGCAAAGAAAGGTCCTTGGGCAAGTTATAGATAGTCAGGTGCCCAGGAGGCTCGTGCCACTCCCCCCAAAAGATGACAGAGGAAGAGGGCTCTTTCTTACTGACTGGGCTTCCAGTTCATCTCCTTTACTCCCATGGAGGCCTATCACCCTCAGAACAAATAGAAACTGGATCTCTTGGGGTGGGGGTGGGGCAAGCCTATAATCCCAGCCACTCAAGAGTGCAAGTTCAAGACCAGCCTGGACAACTTAGTGAGACATTGTCTCAAAACAAAAAGCAAAAAAGAGGGCTCAGTGGTAGAGCTCCTGCCTAGAATCCCCCAGTGAAGGGTTGGGGGTGTGGCTCAGAGATAGAGCACCTGCCTCAAATCAGGTGGGCGATTTCACCTGGCAGTTCGTGACTGTTGGTGGGAGGTTTGGACCCATATTTGTGGGGCAGAGACTGATCTTGCATTGACCAAATGGACCATGGAAAACAGGGAGCAGAACCTTTACCTAGTGCTGGTGGTCCCCAAAGCCACCCTATGGGAAACACAGTCCTGGTTCACCCTGTATGCAGAGATGTGGCCCATAACAATCCCTGGCCAGTCACTGGAAGGAACACTGCTAGAAGACCCTGGGAGTACCACCCTACTGGGAGCAGCACCACCTTACCAGGGGCATCACCCCACAGAGAACAGCACACCACTGGAGTACCACAGCACCAGGAGCACCACACAGCTGGGACCATCACAAATTGGGAGCACCCCTACCTCTGGGGCTATTGCATCATCATAGCACAGCACCGACAGAACCAGCCACTGGAGTTTCGTGCTACAGGGAGCACTACCACCAAAATATCACACACTGCAGCTGCCCATGACAGGAGCACTGTAGGACTCAGGGCACCATGCCCCACAGACCCCCATGTCACCTAGAGTACTAGCTTCGTGGAGCACTCGCTACATGGAGCACTAAGTCATGTGAGCACTGAGCAGTGCCTTGGGGAACCTGATTTTTATGGCAGAGCTGTTTTTAGGTTTTTAAAAAATGCTTTAAATGGTAGTATTTTATGAGATTTCACCCTGAGGCTTCATAGTGCAGAGCATGGTTTAAAAATTGACAATATAAATAAAACTTTGACACACTTGAGATGGAGGGATGGCCAGGCTGGCTCTACCTCCTGGTGGGACTGAATTTATGAAATCCATACGTGGATTTGTTTCTGCTCCAGGGAGAATGAAGGCATATTTTAACAACAGGAAAAAAGACCTGCTACTGGAATAACTTTACATCTGACAAGACCCAGCTCATTTGCAGGTGACAGTCACTGTGTCCCATGGTGGTCATCCTCGTAAACGGTCTCAGTGTGTACAAAGGTCCAACTCCGTGGGCAGAAATGGCCACATTTTTCTACAGAAAAACACCAGTGAGGAGGGTCAAAATCTGCCCAAGACAGCCTGAAATCATTTGAAGGAAATAATTTAGCTGACATTAATTTGTATTAAAGGCATAATATGGACACGGACACAGTAAAGCAGCTAAAAGGCATTTTGGAGACCTGGGGATTGCAAGCGTGTGCTCCAGTGGCTTGGAACAAGGGATCAGTAATAAGACACTGTGAAACAACCCCATGTTACGGTATCAGAGGGGCGAGACTTCCCCACACATCCTCCCACACTGTGGCAGGCTGGGGACAGCAGTACTGGCAGGAGATACCTCCGCCAGGTACAGGTCCTCATGAAGCACCATGAACATAGATCTGACCAGGAAGCCATGGAGGAGCTGCTTCCATGTGCTGTCCGGAGGTGCCTGGTGGGATGGGCTCAGAGAACTCCTGCAGCCAGGAGCTTACGTAATTTAAAAACTGCATTGTTTCTAAATTCATGTTAAAAAAACAAAAACAAACCCCCCTCGTTTTCTCTCCTGGAAAATGTATGCTTATGTAATTTTTAGTGTTCATTCCCCCCAGAAATGTTAAATCAATTTTCTAATTATACAGCGATGTTCATCACCCATCTTTGCACCTTCCACTTACCTGAAATGAAGTACAAGCCAAAAATATTAACCTTGGGAACTAAACCATTTATACATTTTAGATTACATTCAATTCCAAGTAGTGTGCCAAAAACCTCCCTCTGACCTACTCTGTCTCACCCAGGCTGTGAATAATTTCTTTTTCCAGAGTATCGACACTATATATGCCACCCTCCTGTTAGTTACTCAGTTACCATCTCAGTTATCAGATTGGTTGTTGCCCAGCATATCCATGTGGTATATACTATCTTTCAGTAGTAACTAGCTGTCCTGGTGATCAGATGATCTATCACTGCATCACTTGTACAAGCTCACTTTATGTACTTTATACAGACCCCGTAGTTGAAAAACAGTGATGTATAAAGAAACACAGAAGGGGACTGGAGAGATAGCTCAGAGGTTAAGAGCACTGACTGCTCTTGCAGAAGACCCGGGTTAGAGTCCCAGCACCCACAAGGTGGCTACAAACTGTCCTTAACTCCAGTTCCAGGGGAATCCGAAGCCCTCTTCTGACCTCCGCAGCATTGCATGACACGGGTGCACTCACATACATGCAGGCAATACACTCTTACACATGAAATAAAAATAACAAATAAAATATATATTTTTTAAATAAAGAAGAAACTTGGAAGGACAGACTAACTCTGGTTCTGTGTGGCAAAGCTGCATGGAAAACTCCTGAGTGCATGTATGTGCACAAACATACATACACATGCACACAGGAAATATTGGGGGCTTTGCATTGCATCCATGAATAATGGGGACTCTAGTTCTTAATACGACCAATAGCACTTTTGCATTGTACATCCATTTATGTATTTGTGTGGAAACTCTTGTCCCTGTGTGGCCCTAGTTCTCTGAACTGAGCATCAATATTTAAGAGCTACAGATACATTTTCTGTCATCCTTGTTCCAAGGCCCACAGGTGATGATTTGAGGCCTGCCAGCCACACTCTGGCTAAGTGAGACCACAGACCCCGTATGGGGAAAACCCACCTTTGAATTGAATCCAGCCTGTTCCATCCCTGCCAATTCTGGTGACTTCAATCAGGAAGTGTACAGTCACCTACACAAGTGATGCAGGACTCTGTACACCCAGGGGGCACGTGGGAAGGGACTGTAGTCAGGGTACAGCATGGAGCCCATTCTGGATGCTTCCCCTCTTGCCAAATGCCGTCAGTAAGATCCATGCCACTTCTGCTGTGTCTGTCGCAGCCTTTGGTTCTTTCCTTGGTTAGCACCACTTATCAAACTCAAACTCTAATTGCACTTATCTAGGCTGCAAACTGGTCAGGATCACCACTTAAACTCCCCCTAATTGTAAGAAAAGCTTGTTTAACAAACTACTGGGCCCATTCCCTGGTTATCACAGTAGATCAGGCGTGCTCAATTGCTTCTCAAAACTCAGCCCTCCTCTTCCCTGTGCTTTTGATCATCCCAGGCGTCAGCAAGGTGGTGACCGTGGACGTGAAAGGGAACTGGCAGCGCTGGCTGAAGGTTCGGGACCTCACCAAGGGAGTGACCTATTTCTTCCGTGTCCAAGCAAGAACCATTGCCTATGGGCCGGAGCTGCAAGCCAATGTCACAGCCGGGCCAGCTGAGGGTAAGTGGGACTTCGTGGACCAACAGCTGGGCAGCAGGTGCAATGTAGGCACACAGATTCTTTGTTGGGTTGGGGGTTTGTGGACATTCTACAACAAGCTATTTGAGTCAAGGAGTCAGAAAATGTCTTGGAAGTTGTCAAGACACATTGTAAGCCAGGTGTGGTGATGCGTGCATGGAATCCCAGTACTCGGGGAAATGGAGGCAGGGGGATCAGAGTTCAAGGTCATCCCCAGATACACAGTGATTAGGCAACCAACTTTGTTTGTCTGACAAAACAAAAAATGCATAATGTGGACTTCTGCAGATTTCATTACGTGTGGACAAGCAAACTGTTATCTGCCAAGCATGTATTTATTTTATTTTATGTGTATGAGTGTTAGACCTTCATGTGTATAAGTGCACCTGTGTGTTGCAGTACCCACAGAGGACAGAAGAAGGGATCAGATCCCCTGGAACTGGAGTTACAGATAGTTATTAGCCACCATGTGGAAGCTGGGAACTGAGCCCAGGTCCTCTGCAAGAGCAGCCAGTTAAGAGCAGATGGTTCTTAACCACTGAGCCATCTCTACAGCTCCTCCATGTTATTTTTTGAGACAGCATTTCTCACTGAGCCCTGTGCTGATCAATCAGCTCAACTGGCTGGCTGGCAAGTTCCAGGGATCCTCCTGTCTCTTTCAGCGCTACACTAGGGCTGCAGGTGGATTCAGTCATGTCCAGCTTTTTCACAGGGGTCCTGGGGATCTGAACTCAGGTCCTCATGTTTGTGTGACAGGCATTTTACTGACTGGACCCTCTCCCCAGCTCCTCTGCCTCCATTTATTTATTTATTTTATATTTATGTTTCTCTCTCTCTCTCTCTCTCTCTCTCTCTCTCTCTCTCTCTCTCTCTCTCTGTGTGTGTGTGTGTGTGTGTGTGTGTACGGTACTCATGGAAGCCAGAAGAGGGCATTGGGTCCACAGAGCTGGAGTTATAGGTGGTTGTGAGTTGCCTGACATGGGTGTTGGGAAACAACTTGGGTCCTCTGCAAGAGCAGTACACCCACTTAACACTGAGCCATCTCTCCCATCCCTCTAGCTCCCATTTAAAAAATAATTTTTTATGTGTCAACTTTGGAGTGTTTGGGGAACTTACAGCTTTTCTTCTTTTTACCAGTACACACACATACATATACGTGCACAATGCTTATTCGTATTTTTCTCAAAGTACTGCATGCTATACATGTGCTATTCAAATTTTTTTCTTGTTAAGAATGTAAAACTGGAGCTGGAAAGATGGCTCAGCAGTTAGAGCACTGGCTGCTCTTGCAGAGTACCCAGATTTGGCTTCCAGCACCCACGTGGTGACTAACAACTATCCGTAACTCCATTTCCAAAGGCTCTGATGCCCTTTTCTGGCCTCTGTGGGCATTGGACACGCAGGTTCACTTACATACATGCAGGCAAAACACTCATACACATAAAATAAGAAGTAAAAAGTCCTTTTTTAATTTAAAGAACAAATGTAAAATTCAAGGATAAGTACAAAAAGAAACAAATACTTTGAAATCTTGCATGTAGATGACACGAACTCCTGTCAACATCCTTTTATGCAACTTGCAATTTCTTTTAATCATAAGAGTAACCATAATAATAACCAACCTTTCAGGATCATTTGCTCTGGGCCATACACTGTCCTGTGATCTTAGTGTACATTAAGTGTACATTCACTCCTCCCATCAAACTTGTGGTACAGCCAAGGTAAGAAACCTAGACAGAGACAGACATGGCTGCATGTGCCTGTCATTCTAGAACTCAAGAGGCTCAGGCAGGAAGATCACAAAGTCTAACATGGGCTACATAGACCTGTCTCAAAAAAAAATGTTGGGCTGGAGAGATGTTTCAAGGATTAAGAACATTTGCTGCTCATGCAGAGGACCCAAGTTCAATTCCCTGCACCCATGTGGGGCGGCTCACAACCACTTTCACCTCCAGTTCCAGGGAATCCAATGCCCTCTTCTCATCTCTGAGGGCACTGCACATATGTGCATATACACATAAAGATATACATGCATATAATTAAGTCTTAAAATAAATCTTAAAAATAATAAAAATGAAAATCTCAACACTTCTGCCCCTCACTGAGGGGTCACTCATCCTCTCAAGCCCAGTGTCACACTTAGCTTTTTCTATCCCACAGGCTCCCCAGGCTCACCCAGAAATGTCCTGGTCACCAAATCTTCCTCTGAGCTGACCCTACAGTGGACAGAGGGAAATGCTGGGGACACACCCACCGCAGGCTACGTCATAGAGGCCCGGCCGTCAGGTAGGAGTAGAGGGAGGGGGCAGCTGTGCACCTGCTGAGATACCAGAGCCAGACACTGCCCCCACCGTGGCATCTCAGTGGTCCGGGGTCTCTGGCTCCCTCCCTGTGTATCCCCAGCAGGGCTGAGGTGGAGGGTGAGGGATACTTGTCGGAGGCGAAGCTCGTTTTGTGCTTTCCTCCTTGGCGCATGGTGACCGCAGCTGTGCTGTTAACCTCTTGGGCCTTTGATTTCTAATGCCTTAGCCACATGACACTTAGAAGAATGATAATTGTCACTCTCAGGAACGGGTAGATGAGAGGCAAGGGACACTTGAAGACATTTAAGCTCATCAGGAAGATCTGAAAGCAAGTCAGGGGTTTGTCTCTGGGGTCTGGAGCTGGCAGCCTGTGGAAAGAGCCTTGTTCACTTCTAATAATTACGAGCGTCTTTATTCATAGTGGGAATGACACACCGACTGCATGCCTTTCAGGGTTCAGAAAATGAAATCTAAGATCTGTTTCAGGGATAGGGAGATGGCTCAGTAGGTAAAAGTGCTTGCTGTATAAGCATGGAGACCTACATGTGTTTGAATCCCCAGCACCCACATGTGTGGCCACATGCATACCTGTAATCCCAGTGTTGTGGAGGTGGAGATAGGAGGATGTCTGGGGCTTGCCTACCAGCCTAGCTCCAAGCTCATTAAGAGCCACCGTCTTGAGGGAATAAGGGGAAGAGTGACAGAGCAGGACACTTGACATCTTCCTCTGGCCTCTGTGTGCGCAAGCATTCGAACATACACACACGTGATACACCACACACACAGATGCATGTGAACACGCACATACATGCATACACCAAACACATACACATGTATGCACATGCATACACACACACACACACACACACACACACACACACACACACACACACAGAGATCTGTTCTTACCCCCCTTTCCTTCTGACATTTTTATAGCTTGCTCTTTTTTTGGTCTTTTTGAGACAGTCTCCCTGTAGCCCCAGCTGTCCTGGAACTCGCTATGTAGACCACGCTGGCCTCGAACTCACTGAGATCTGCCTGCTTCTGCCTCCCAATATCTTGCTCATTTTTCACACTAACAAGTATTAATTGCACATATTAATGGGATTAAATGTGACTTTTTTTGAGACAGGGTCTCTTATAGCCCAGGCTGGTCTCAAACTCCTTATGTAGCCTTGAACTACTGATCCTCCTGCCTTCACTTCCCAAGTGCCAGGATTACAGGCATGTGCCACCACATCCAGTTTTAAGCGGCACTGGGGATGGAACCCAGGGCTTCATGCATGCTAGCCAAGCACTCTACCAACTGAGCCAGAAATGCAGCAGCCAAGATAAGGCAAGACATCGGAAATGTTCAGGAAGCAGGTTTTATTCAGGCTGCAGCCTGGTCCAGAGGACTCAAGTCTCAAAGTCTGAGCCCCAAAGGTAAGGAGCTCCTACATTTTATACCTGGGGTAGTGGGTTACAGCATCATTAGCTTAATGGGCTAACAGCAAAAAGTCCTAGTTCCTGCAAAATGTATAGAACGTCCCTTAAAAAGTCCCTCTGAGACACACCAAAAGAGGAAGCTCCTGGTAAAGGGGGAAAAGATGGGTGGCTCTAGCTGGTTAACTATGTCAGTGTTCTAACCACAAACCTGTCAGTAGAACTTTGCTGGTAGAGACACAGAGAGAAAAGATTAAAATCCTTTTTAAAATATTTATTATTATTATTTTATGTGTATGAGTTTATTGCCTGCATGTGTTTAAGTGCACCCATGTTGTACAATGCCTGTGGAGTTAGAGGAGGGTGTTGCGTTCCCTTGGAACTAGAGTTACCGACAGTTGTTAGCCATCATGTGAGTGCTGGGAATCAAACCCGGTTCCTCTGCAAGAGCAGCTGGGAATCTTAACCTCTGAGCCGTCTCTCCACCCCTAAAATCCTTATTTTTTCTTTCTTTCTCTATTATGTCCTATATCGCCTCCACCTCCCAAGTGCTAGGATTACAGACTTGTGCTACCATGTCTAGTTTTATGTGGTGCTGGGGATGAAACCCAGGGGTTTCATGCATGATAGACAAGCACTCTACCAACGGAGCCCCATTCCCAGCTCCCAGTGTGAAACTTTTATGCAATCTATGTGTGTTACTTTTGCACAGCTATGGCAAAAATTGACATAAACAACTTCAGGAAGGAAAAATTTATTTTGGCTCATGTTTCAGAGGGTTCAGTCCACAGTTACTTGGCCCTGTGCACATGGCAGAACACACGACAGTAGAGTAGAGCTGTTCATGTCTTGGTGGCAGGAAGCAGAGAGTGAGATAGGAGGAGGGTCGGGGTAAGGACCCCAGCAGCAGTGCCTTGCTTCTTTCTCTAGCTGGGGCCACCTTTGAAGGTGGTGACCAAGCACTCCACACAGGAGCCTGTGGAAAACAGTTCCTAGTCTTACTATGATATGGTGCCTAGCATGCTCTGAGCACACCCAACTGCATGGTCCCTAGCCATCAATGTTCTCTTTACAAGTCTGTTTCCGCATGTGAAAGGGAATGCATATTTCCACATCCCACTCATCTAGCTTGTCACAGTGCCCTACACCTACCTCCCCTCATTTTGCTGCAAATGGCAGAATTTCATTCTCCTTTTTTGTTTCTTTGGTTTTGGGTTTTGTTTTGTTTTGTTTTTGAGACAGGGTCTCACTACCTTGTCCTGGCTAGCCTGGAACTTGCTATGTTGACCAGGCTGGCCTCTATCTCAGAGATCCACCTGCCTCTGTCTCTCAAGTACTGGGATTAAAGGTGTGCACCACCACACCTGGCAACTTCACCTTTCTTTATGACTAAGTAATACTCCATCACGAATATATATACCATACTTCCTCTGTCCATTCATCCATTGATATCTAAGCTGATCCCCTGTCTTAGACATCAAAGACATCTCTTAGGTATTCTGATCTGGTTTCCTTTGGGTGAATACCCAGGACAGAGACAGCTGGATCAGATGTAGCTGTGTTTTTAGTTTTGGGAGGAACCTCCATCCTGTTCTCCATAGAAACAGAACTAATTTACATTCTCACCAACAGTATATAAGAGTTCTATTTGATTTTAATAATGAAGGATGGATGTTATGGAAAATGAGTTTCTGATGATCTGAGTTGGATGGTAGTAATGGGAGCCGAGGGGTCACCAAACGTAGAGAATGCTGAGCAGCTTCACCATGGCTTTGAGATGGTTGAGCACATGCAAGTGATCATAGGTGATGCACCATGCTCGTTTCAGGAAGGGCTGTCTTGCCCACCGCCAGATGGACTTTGGTGCCAGGAACCATTTTGACCTAATATTTAAAGAGAGTGTTAGACCAGTGGGAAGACCTCCCCAAAGCCACATTCATCAGTGCGGCAGATGTTTCTCCTCCCTTCAAAAGTTGGGCATAGCAGCATATGTCTTGTCCCAACAGTCCTACAAGAGACTCCCCAGAAGCTTGTGGGCCAGCTAGCTACTGACACGCACAGCAGCGAACAAGAGAGGCTGCTTCAAAGAAGGTGGAACTTAAGGACTGACTCCTGGAGCTCTCGTCTGACCTCCATATATGTGCCATAGCATTGACATGCCAGCATCCACACACACAAATACATATACACACCTGTATACACACAAACACATAGATTGTATTAGTTTGCTTTTTGTGCTATGATAAACACTGAGCAAAGCAAATTGGGGAAGAAAGGGTTTATTTCATCTTACAGCTCACAGTCCATCACTGAGGGAAGCCAAGGCAGGAACTGAGGGTAGGAACTGAAACAGAAACCGTGGAGGAACGCTGCTTACTGGCTTGCTTCCCCTGGCTTGCTCAGCTACCTTTCTTATGTAGCCCAGGCCCACCTGCCCAGCGATGGCACTGCCACAGTGGACTGGGCTCTCCTACATCAATTAGAAATCAAGAAAATGCTCCCAAGCCATGTATGCCAGCCAGTCTGATGGAGGAAATTCCTCAATCGAGGTTCCCTCTTCTCAAGGACTCTGGATTGTGTCAAGTTGACCAAAACTAACCAGCATACAGATTTTTGAAATAAAAATAAAAAGGTTGAAAAACTTTTACCTAAAAGGAAGTGTGAAATTTTCTGTAAGATGTGAAATTGTCAAAGAATTAAAATACACACAGATCAAGAAATAAATAAGTAAATAAATAAATAGAAAAAACAAAAAATACTTTGGCTCAAGCACTCATAGGTGATATCCAAGGAACAAGGCAGTTAACCAAGTCTAAAACTGGGATCTCAAATCAGGGAGGTTCTGGAGCCTTCTATGATCATTGGTCCCCTGTAGTCCCTAGAACAGAGAACCCTCACTCTACAATGACTTGATTCAAGAGTACTCTCAGAATTGATGAGAACCTGCAGACAGATCCTAGCAGGCTCTGGGCCACAGTGAGGGACTACAGTCCTAGAAATGAGCCAGTGATGGGCTTTTCACTAGTTTAAGGAAACACTTAACTCTAGGGGAAATATTTATCATACAGGTGACTTTACTACCTGTTGTGTGGCTTTTCCTGGAAGGCATGAACAAAGGTCTATTCCCCCCACTTAGGGCACAGACCAGAAGGATTCTACCCACATCTAGCTTTAGTGAACCAATGAGTTTACAGGGGTTACTTACAAGGGTATAAGTGAAGGATTACTTACAGGAGCACAGGTGACTCAAAGACGTGCATCACTGAAAAGCCCACCCCAGCATGGGTGTAACTCAGGAAAGCTACAGCCGCAGAACTCCCTGCACCACCTGCAGGCAGCTTATGGGTGGGTTAGTCTCCTTTCTCCCTAGAAGTTACTACTTATATAAGCTTGGGGAGCGGGCCTTGTGAATCTTCTAATTTCCAGGAATTTCCTAAGATTTGTGAGGTGTTTGCTTCCTGAGTAAATTCTGTTTACTTTCTGAGTCTTATGGAGCCCCCCTCCAGCATGGAATGTCACAATTTGGAGGAAATTGCTACACACTATCTTTTCTGATCC